GATGCTGCCAAATAGGATTTCCACAATTTATTTGAATAACTTTAAATTATTTGATATTATTGAAACCCATCTGGAAGACGTTATCTTCGATGAGGAATCGGAATTATCAACCATGTTATTCTTGATAATTCATAAAACATCTTTTTAACAATCTAATGTTACAGGCCTTGTGGGGATAGGATTGCTTTCTTTCATTAATAAAATGTCTTTCTTGTTAAAAAAACACAAAAAACAATGAATGAGACAGAAAATCATCATTTGATATATAGAGAAGAATGAATGGAATATTGAAAAATGATATCACAGATAATTAATTTTCCTGATAAATTAAGGCAAAATAAAAATTCTGAAATTAAAAAAAAATCATTAGATTGCTTTTTTACTTTGAACATTTGGTCAAAAAGCAGCTGGAAAGCAAGTGGTAGGGACATGGAGTCCGCAAACGCGTAACAACAATTAAGTCTTGGAACGCATGATTACTTTAACATTTTCAAATTTGATTTCATATTTCGAGGACTATGGGAACTTGCTCACTTTTAGAAGAAAAAATAAAGAAAGAAAAACGAAAGAGCACTATCATATCCAACCGAACTGACCACTGAAGCTCAAGAAGAGCGTGGTGATTGCAGTGGAATTCTGTTCATCTGGCTAGCACCCTCCAAAATTTAATTTGCAAGCCCAGAATCATCAACTCAATGGTGGAAGCTTAAATATCTGGTATCAACATCAAAATCTCTTCTTCTTTGCCTCTTTAATGAGTCACTTTCTGATCAGTGTTTTCTATTTCTTATATACCTAATTAATTGTCTATCTGCTATCACACTTTCAATTCTCAAAGTATATATGAATGGTTAGGATTTGGAGATGTCACTCCCACTTAGCAAGTTCCAACTTATTTGACGACTCAATCTCTCTCAAGATCTGGTCCTCCCAGTGCCATTCTGTCCTTCTCCCTCTTGAAAATCTACAAGCCAATACTGAAAGTGCAAGTTCATCACTGGTATGAAGCAATGTCCCTCTCTTGATTCGGAGTCTCACTTTCCCACTTGATTCTTTCACTTCTTTTTTTTTTTGGGCTCTTTAGTCTTCCATTTTCTGATCAGTAGTGTTTTCTATTTCCTATGCTTTTGTTTCTATCTTTTTTTTTTTGGGTGACAACTTATGTTTCTATCTGCTATCACACTCTTAATTCTCAAAGTATGAGTGCTAGGATTTGGAGCTCTCACTTACCCACTGCATGTGTTGCTTGTTTTTCTTTCAACATGGCACTGAAATGAGCTGGAAAACGTAGATTTATTTACTCTAGTTTCTAAAAGCTTAGATCTTACAGCAAGAAAGTTACTCCCTCGGGTCGTTTATAAAGAGTTAGATAAGATATTAAGAAAATTCATTTAGTTACTTATTTATAACAAATTTATGTCACATTGGATGTTGGTTTTTTTAGAATATATTTTCTAATTATGTGTGTTATAACTATACCCTCCCCTCTTCCTCTGTGTAATATACTTCGGGGGAAAAATTATACAATCTAAAACATTAGGTAGCTACTCTAGTATCCAAAAATATTCCCTCTAGTCCCTATTATAATAGAATCCATACCCTCATTAATTACACTAGATTCCAACGTTATATTAATTTTTGTTCTCTCACTACCTTTATTAAATACAGGCATATACGGGGAAAAAAGTATGTAATACTCACTGAACCTATCAAATGGCCTTATAAAAAGGATCAAGAATTTTTTTCTAGCTAGAAGGGCTCCTTGAAGAAATATGCTCGGATTAATTAGTTAATATTATGTTTTATTTGCTAATCCCAGCATATTTCTGCACTCCTATAATAAGTACTAGAGGGAGTAGCTTGAAAATGCTCAGATCTACCACATAGCGAGAAGGTTACAATAATTGATCTTTCTTATTTCCATCGTGATGATATTGACAAGAACGATTATGTAATGCTTCTATTCTACATTGTGTAATACATGAATATCCTGAGTTTTGGGGAAAAAAGTTATCTAAAAAAATAGATAATAAATTAAATGTGGTTCCCTACAATGACACTATTTTAAAGATTTTTATTCTTTTGGACTGAATACTGTATATTTCTATCGAAATCACATGAACTTTTATTTAATGCTGATATTGATTTGCACAAAAAATTTTAGATGTAAATAATAAATTACGAGATGCTCAACTTCAGTTTTAACTAAGAGGGATTTTTCTTTATATTGAAGATTAAAACCCACAAAATTATTTATTAAAAGTAATAAAAATTTGTCTCATTTACTATTTATTCCATGGAAAATCTCCATAAGTTTCGAAAATAGAATGTATATGTATAAAATTTTCATAAAAATATGGGATAATTAACTTTTGGATCCTCATAGTTTCATCTTATTTTTAATTAGGTCCTTATAAAAGTTTTTCTTTGGGTCAGGTCCTTTTCCTTTTATGTGTTTTTAATTAGGCTCCTCTTTTTTTTTTTTCTTTTTTTATCAAATCCTTATAGTTTCACTTATTTTTTAATTAGGTCCTTTGCAGTTCTAATAAAATCATTTATTAATTTTATTCTTTAAAATTAATTTTATTTTTAAATTAATAATTATATAATTAGACAAAATAATTGATATAATCATTTAGTAATTAATAATTAAGCAGAATAATCAATTATACTTAATTATAAATTATTTATAATTATATTCTAATTTTGGAACATTTTATTATTAAATAATATATATGTTTAACTAAAAATTTTAAAAAATATTAACATAAGATTGTTATAATAATTTATTATTTATAGAATATCATTATTTATAGAAGAAAGAATAAAAACTACAAGGATCTAATTAAAAATAAGGGTTAATTAATCCGCAAGTCCTTATAGTTTCAACGAATTTTGAATCAGGTCCCTATAGTTTTTTTTTTTTATTAGATCCTTATACTTTTACCTTTTTTAATTAGGTCCTTGTATTTATTTTCTTTAATTAAGTCCTTATAATTTCATTAAATTTTTAAGCAGGTCCATGTAGTTTTAATTTTTATTTATTAATTAAATATAAGCTTAATTAAATAGATTAATAATGAAATATAAAATATTAATAAGTAAATTAAATTAATAATTATGTAATAAAAAATAATAGAATTAATTAATTCAGGAAAATTTTTTAGAACAATTAATTTTTTTCTGAAAAAATTAAAATCATTATAATAATTCAATATCGTTAGAATATTATTGTTTATAAACTAATATTAAATAATATATACTATTTTATGTTTATATAATAGTACTATTAGAATTCATAAAATAAAGAATAAAAAATTCAGGGACTTAATTAAAAATAAAATGAACTTATAAGGACTTGATAAAAAGAAAAATAAATACAAGGACCTAATTAAAAACAAGTGAAAGTATAAGAATCTGATAAAAAGAAAAAAAACTATAAGGACCTAATTCAAAATTCGTTGAAACTATAAGAACTTGCGGATTAATTATCCCTAAAAATAAAGAAAAATAATAAGGACCTAATAGAAAGAAAAAAAATTATAAGGACCTGATTAAAAACATGTGAAAATATAATGACTTAATAAAAAGAAAAAAAAATTATAAAGACCTAATTAAAAACTGGTTGAAACTTACTAGCATATTAATTATCCCTAAAAATATTTACGCGAGTACATTGGTATATAGCATCAATTATAAAACAAAAAATCAAAAAGTAATTTAATGTCTTAATTTTAAAGTATAAATATAAAGCATAGATACTTACAAAATGAATTATCTCTCTATCTTGCCCCTTAATTTTCTATTTCTCCAATTTCTCAGTAAGGCAGAAACAAAATTAATATTGTTGGCGCAGTTTTCAGATCATTTACTGAAAATTAGTCTGTTCTTGAGCTGGTCAAGAATTTTTTTTTTGAATTAGAACGAGAATAAAAGGATAATACTGAGTCTTTTGATTTTTTTTTTTTTGGGTCATAGAGTCTTTTGATTTATCGTAAAGAATGTTATAATGTTATTCAAAATAAAATACACTAATTACCCTTCTAATTTAAACAAGTTATAGAAATCTCTCGTTGCTCTATTTTGAAAACATATGCTACAAAAACCTCTTTATATATTTGAAATTTTATTTTCACCTATCAAATCACTAGTTGATTATTAAGTTTGACTCTTAAACTTTGATTTTATCAAAATACCCCTCCTTAACTTAAGAATTATTTAAACATTTATATTTATCGAAAACTAATTTTTTAGAAAACTAAATGGTTTTTTTCCAGAAGGTAAAATCCCTACCATAAGTAACACTTGGTGCTTGTACAAAAACTAATTATCTTTCAAGAATAGCATCTGATATTCGTTCGAACAAGGTTTGATTTACGAAAAATATACCACTAAGATAATTACGGCCAAGGGGTCAAATTATATGAATAAAAATTTCTTCCAGCAACAGGATCTAATTAGCATTGACATTCATGTTTTATGATCAAATCAACGAAAAAATGAGTCAAAATGATAGTTTTTTCTTTTCCTTTTTACTATAAAAAATCTAAGATGACATTAGTTGAGCCCTACATCCCAACCAACTTTGTCTCTCATATTTATTTATTTTTTTTGGAATATAGTCATTGTAGTGGTTGCACATATTAAATGTTTCATTAAATAATAGTTTTAGATAATACACATGATTAGCATTGAGGTTATTTTATGAAAGACAATACATATTTATTATAAATAATTAACTCAATAAACCTCCTTAATCTACTCAAGTTGGTCAAATTAGCTCTTGTATTAAGGACCGGAGGTAGGAGATCATAGTTTAAAGAGAGCTAACTAGTATATTTACACATCCAACAATGAATCTTTTTTAAGTCGTGTATAAATAATTTCTTCACATTCAAAAACTAGCAATAATTTTTGTCACTTTTGAATAGTAAAAATGATGAGATCGCTGCTTAAATTTTGAATGTTGGATCGTTGGGACATGAACGGCGTGATTTGTGGTCCAAAGAAATGGAAAATGGACAACACTTGCTGATTAAGGCTTGAACCATCTTATCAACGTACTATTCTTCTCACTGTTGAAAATCTACAAGCCAAGACTGACAGTGCAAGTTCATCACTGGTATGATGCAATATCCCTCTCCTCATCAGAGACTCATTTTTCCCCTCTTTATTCTTTGGGAAAATTTTTCAAGCACATTATATCTGTCAATTCTCAAAGTATGAATAGGTTGTTAGTTGCAGACTACTTTTTTCTTCTTTCTTTGACCTTTAATTTGGATCGATCTGCTAGGAAAAAATAGAATCATAAAACAGTACTAAATTTGTTAATCTGATATCTAAACATTGCTGAACCAAAACAATTAATCTTTCTTATTTTACTCAGGAGAGGAAAAGAATATTCTTTTCATCTTTGATGATGCATCTTCATGAAAGATTAAGTATATAATTAAGGTGCTCCAATTCTTCAAAATGAAATTTTGAGTTAATCATTTGATGATGATGAGTGATTCTCATTTCAGGTTGCTATTATTAATAATAAATGGCTGAGGTCGGAGCGTCAGTAGCAGCAAAACTTGCTGAATATTTGGTGCATCCAACTTTACAACAGCTGCAGTATATGTTCTATGTTAGCAAGATCACCGGAAACGTTGAGATCAAAAAAAGGAAGCTAATACTAAAGCAGGGAAAGGTGCAAGAATGTGTTCAAGAGGCCATCAATAGGACTGAGAGGATTGATGGTGAGGTTACCAAGTGGAAGAATGACGTGAATAGCCTTATAGCAGAGGTGGAGAAACTGGAGGAAGAACTAAGGGCCAACAATGGTTGCCTTCAAGGGTGGTGTCCTACTTGGAGGAGATATTGTCTCTGCAAAATGTTGGCTAAGACAACTCAGAGGATGATTGATCTAGATATAAAGAGTGATCACTTCAATCCATTTTCCCATCCTGTTACTATTTCTGATATTGACTATCACTCTTCTCAAAATTTTAAGCTCTTCAATTCTACGCAAAAGGCTTTTGATCAATTGTGGGAGGCATTGCAAGATGATGGTAACTCCATGATTGGGTTATGGGGGATGGGAGGGTCAGGGAAAACCACCTTGGTGAAAGAAGTGGGAAAGAAAGCCAAAAAGTCACAGCTATTTGATCGAGTTGTGCTCACGACATTTTCTCAAAGCCTAGACATAAGAAAAATTCAAGGTGAAATTGCTGACACGTTGGGGCTTGAATTGAAGGAAGAAACTGAAATAGGCAGAGCGAAAAGAATAGCTCTACGATTACAAAGTGGAGAACGAATTTTGATAATACTAGATTACATATGGGCTATGCTGAACCTTGAGGACATAGGGATTCCCATTGAAAGAAATCATCAAAGAAGTTGCAAGGTTATCTTGACCACGCGTCGTCTAGATGTGTGTACCTTGATGGAATGCCAAAACAAGATTCAACTTCATTTGTTAAAAGAAGATGAAGCATGGACTTTGTTTCAAACTCATGCCAATGTTGATGAAGCTGCTAAGGAATGTGTGGCACGAGCAATTGCTAGGGAATGTAAAGGCCTACCTATTGCAATTGTAGCTGTAGGAAGTTGCTTGAAAGGCAAAGGAATTGATGAGATGAATATAGTGTTGTGTAGGTTGAGAAATGCAAAGCCAAACAATATAGATAAAGGTGTGAGGGATGCTTTTGCTTGTCTTGAATTAAGCTATGATTTTTTGGCAACTCTAGAAGCCCAGCGTTTATTGCTAATATGTGCTATGTTTCCTGAAGACCATGACATTGTTGTTGAAGACCTTTTTAGATATGGAGTGGGATTAGGCCTATGCAAAGATGCAGACTCATTTCAAACAGCGAGGAGCCAAGTTAGAGCAGCTATAAATGATCTCATTGACTCCTCATTGTTGATGCATTCTTCTCTAAAGTTCAACGTGCATGCACCAACACATGTGAAATTACATGATATGGTTCGTGATGTTGCATTGTGGATAGCATCTAAAAAAGATGGTAATATTATGGTAAATTGTACAAAAGAATTAAACGAGTTGATTGTTGACGAAGTGATAAAAGGTTGCTATGCCATATCTTCATGGCATGAAAATAATGAATTACTTCAATTTCCTTCTCAATTGGATGCCCCAAAACTTGAGTTTCTATTGTTACACTCAAGGGAAACCTTAGATATATCACATGAATTTTTTGAAGGTGCTAAAGGACTCAAGGCTTTGATTATTATGTGTGTGGATTGGGATAGGATTAAACTACAACCTTGTTTAATCCAACACTTGTCAAACCTTCGAACTTTGAGATTGCAAAATTGGGATTTACGTGACATCTCTTTTGTGGTAAGCCTTATAAGACTTGAAATTCTTGACTTGCAATTTAGTAAATTTGAAAGAGTACCGAATGGAATTGAAAAGTTGAAGAAGCTGAAGTTGTTAGATTTGTCAAGTTGTACAATAGATGAATGTTGTTATGATGTAATAGGAAAATGCTCACAGTTAGAAGAGTTGTATGTTCCCACACATTCTCGACACTCAAAAAATACAAATTGCTATGAATACCTTGTGGGCCACACTGGTTTGATGTATTTGAGAAGGTATAATTTAGAAATTAGGAAGCACGGCAGAGGCTTCGTATTTAAGGGTGAACATACAAGATCTTTACGCTTGGGTCAGTTAAATATCTCTATGTTGTTACCCACAATAATCAAGCATCTTGCACAAAGAGCAACCAAGATTGTATTTTATGAGCTTGAAGGAGGTAGCAAAAGTTTCATCCCTGGTATTGTCCAAGCTGTAGGAGGCATGAAGGAGTTGAGTAGACTCTGTCTTCAAAGATGTTCAAAGATTGAATGCATTATTGACGAAACTACTCTTCAAGAAGATGCAGTTGTCCCCAAATTGAATGAGTTAGTGCTAAGAGATATGGATAATCTTGAACGACTATGTCGTGCTCCTTCTCCTTTTAGCTTGTTCGAAAAGTTGGAAAGATTAACCATATTCAACTGTCCTCAGTTGCTCCACATATTCCCTGTCGACTGCAGCTTAGGCAATCTTAAGGTTCTCAATGTTAACAAGTGTCCAATTTTAACATCTCTCTTTCCTGTCTCTGCTGTTTGCACACTGCTATCCTTAGAAGAGCTCCGAATAAAATGTTGCAATGAATTGAAGCACGTATTAGATGAAGATGGTGGTGTTGATGCATGGGTGAGTTTGAGATTCTCAAAATTGAAAATTTTGTATGTTAGGAATTGCTGCAATTTAGAATCTGTGTGCCCGGTCTTCTTAGCTCAGAGATTTGTACAATTGCAAGATCTATCGGTAATAAATGCTCTACAGATGAAATCTTTGTTTAGTGAAAATGCTGGTGAAGAAGAACCAATGTTTGATCACGATGAGACTCAGATAGTTCTTCCTCTTTTAGAATATCTCAACCTGAAAAATCTTCCAAATCTTGTCCAAATTTGCTCAGAGAGGTATCATCCAAGGTGTCCATCTATAAAGACAATAGAATGGAAAGACTGCCCAAATATGGTAAGCATTTGCCTCCCATGCTGTAATTAGATTTGCAAAAAATGTTTAAAAAGACTAATTTTTTAATAAAAAGATATCTTTTGCTCACGTGATTAATTTTTTTTAACATGCATTAAATAATAAATAATGTTCAAGTGAGCACATTTTGGGAGATGATTCACTCAATTAACTCATTCATGTTTTGTTATCTAGAATAAGAAATAAAATTAAAATATCTAAAGACATTAATAAAAATTGGGCTGTGTCTTGCAAAACATTTCAATGCATGGATAATCCAACAATTACATTTTGTCATTTTGTATTGTGGTCATTCGATTTATTTATCATTTCAGCATCCCACAATAAACATCGACTCTTGTGGGCCCCTCATTATAATTTTTCCTTGACTTCATTGATTACAAAATCCATTTTCTTATATATGCCTATGGTTGATCTTTATTTGTTTAATTTACCAAAAAATTGATAGACTAAGTCTATGCAATAATAATACATGTGCATATCGAGTTTTAATTTATCCCAATTTATCATTTTTAGGAAATATATTAATGATTTTCATTTCCTTTTCTTCCTTTTTTTCCTTCTTTCACAAAGGAATTGAAGGAACTTAAAGGCCATCAATTGTGGAATGAAGAATACAAGTCATTGGCAACTATAGAAAGGATTCGACTTGATAATTGTGGAGTAGAATCCATTTTAAACCACCAGACTGGGGTTGAAGGACAAATTCCAACATTTCAATACCTTAAAGAATTAACTCTGGAAAATTGCGCAAGATTAAAATTTGTCTTTTACGCTCATATCTTTCAAAGTCTCCCAGGGTTAATTTCTGTAAACATATCTTGTTGTGAGGAGTTGGAGGCAATTTTTTGGGGAAATGAAGAGACTGATAAGAATCCACCCGCCACTGAATCTTGTCTGCTGAAATTGAAGAGGGTGGAGATCTCTAAGTGCAACAAGCTTAAATTCCTTTGCATGCTCGGTGCTGCTACCTCAATGCTTCCACAACTAGACACTCTAATCATATCAGATTCTTATCAAATGGAACAAATTTTTAGATGCTCAAATATTGAAAATCAAGGCATTGACAGTGAAAAGGAGATTTTGCTCCCAAAAATGAAACTTATGAAACTTCAGAACTTGCCAAGGCTTGTTAATGTCTGCCAAGGGTTTAAGTTGCAAACATGGGAGTTTTGCACTGTTGAGGTTCATGACTGCCCAAGACTTGTGCCAATTATGAGTGCAATTATTGATTGGACTAAAGAGGTAACTAATATTCTACGTTTGTGTTTCTCCATATTGCAAATCTTGTCTATGTTTTATTTTGCAATATTGATTAAATTCATGGCGGCTAGCAGAATAGTACTGTTTTGTTCATTTTTAAGCTCATAAAGTCCGGTCTAACACTTTCATTCCTTTCACATGCATAGGCACAAGATATTTACATACAAAAGCTGGATGGGAAGCAAATCGTTCTGCATCTCATACAATATTCCTTTCTACTTCTTTACATGTATCTGTTTGTGATGTACTATCATACATGGAACACACCAAGCGATCTACAGTTTAATTTATCAACTTGCGACTTTTTTTTTTTTAATCTGATCTCTTTCTTTTCATGATCTTTCTGATGAACTTGTAATATTTTTTTTCCCCCACCTCTCACTTCTCTGTTACATGCAGGGACTTGAAAGGAAGTATGTGTTGAAAGACAGCCAGTTAAATAATAATAAGGCTTTCAATCGTTCGCTTCCTATTCTATATGCTGGAGAACTTGATACTCAACGTCCTAGAGTTGAACACAAGTGGCGAGTGATTGGTGATGATGAGCGAGAAGAAACCAACGACTCAGAAATATTGAGGTCAAAACAACAAATGCTGGGAGGTCTTGTTCCCACAGAAGTTTTGAGCTTCCAATATCTTTGTTCCTTAGAAATAACTCACTGTAAAAAGCTGAAGTTCGTATTCTCAATGAGCACTATTGTCCACAACATCCTTCCCAAACTGACTTCGCTAGCCTTATTTGATTGTGAGGAACTAGAGGAAATAATTGCAGAAAATGAGGAACATCAGATCCTGTCCAACGTTCAAGTTGGCTTCCCAGAATTAAGATGGGTGGCTGTTAAGAGGTGCAATAAGCTCAAAAGACTCTTCTCTACGTCCATGGCTACCATCCTTCCACAACTAAACTCTTTGTTGATAACTGAGGCTGACCAATTAGAGGTGATTTTTGGACATAGTAGTGAAGATGATACCAACAACGGTGAGATTGTGCTTTCAAGCTTGGGGAAGGTAGAGCTAACAAATTTGCCAAATTTCATGACTGTTTGTCAAGGGTTGCAGATTCAGGCGCAGCTAAGCGACATATGGATACACAACTTGTAACACCCCGAATTTTCTGACTCAGGATGAGCAGAAAAGAGAGAAATTCATTAAAATTATTTATTTGCAAAATAAAGTGGGGAAAATTATGGAATATTGATTTTTAAGATTTAGAGACATATTGGAAAAGGTATTTCCCCAAAAATAGCTTAAATAATTTTAATAGATAATTTTAAGAGAAAAATGGTTTATTTTCTCTGAAAATTATGGAAAAATACTTAGAGATTTATATTTAATCTGAAATTTTTAGGGAAGTTATTTTATGGGTCAAAGAAGCTAATGGATAAGAAAAATCCATTTATAATATTTTAGTTTAATTTCTGGATATATCTTATATTTCAGAAAAATAGGAGAGGGATAAGATTGGAGGAATAAATATGTTGGAGGGCAAAATGGTCCAAGAACTTTACAACACACGTGCTGCCTTCTCTTTTAGCCACCTGATTCACTCCTCCACTTAATAGCTGATCACCCATGCGGTTAATTCACTTCAGACGGTGTCCAGAGAAAAAGAGATAGAGACGGAGAGCGAGAGAGGAGAGCACGGGAGAAATAGCGTTCAGCGAAACCGGAAGAGCGATCGGAGGCTGTTTTACTACATGCAGTCTTGGATTCTGAGTAAGGTGGGTCTCCTAAACCTCCTCCCATCTTTGTTTACTTGGATTGGTGACTGGTTGGAGCGTTAATGAGGAACGAAGCTTAAGTTTCAGTGGGAGAAACTTTCGATTAAAACTGGAACTTGATGATGATGATAGCTTAATGCTTGTTGACGATGATGGTTCATGGTTTCTAGCTTGCATGTTGATTTTTGTTGCTCCAAGTAAAGGGTGCTCTGTTTTGGGTTTAATCGAATAGGGATTATGTTTTTGAGCTAGGAGGGTTTTTCTTTTGTTCTTGCCGAACTGAGGAAACGTGGTTGATATATGCGGTTGCATGTGTGCTTACTGGTTGTGTGTTGGAATGGCAGAACCCAACCCCCTGTTTTGATGAGTTTAGCGTTAGAACTCTAGGTGAAAATGGAAAGACGGTATAGGTGATTAAATGTGTTGGTAGATAAATATATATATATATGTATGTATATATAAACATGGCTGTGCTGGGCGCTTACTGGTTGATGCTCCTAAATGACTAATGAGTAATATAGAATGTTTTGCAGCTCAAGTTGAAGTTGCTGTTTCGGGGGTTCAGTCTTGGGTTCTAGAGGAAGAATGAGTGGAAGTTCGGATATTTAAAAGGAAGTGTATGAGGAATAAAGGTGAATAGAAGCATGTGTATATGTGTGTGATAAAGTGACGAGAGGCTCATGGGAAAAGTAGAGGAGACCGAACTGACACGCACACACACACATATATATAGTTTCGGTACATGTGTATATATATAGAGATATATGGAAAGTATTTTCGGGCAAGTGGGTTTCAAGAGGAACTGTAATTTTAAACTGGGGACTTTCAAATGGTGGATAGAATGATGTTTATGAAGCTGGAATTTCATATCAGTAAGAAAGGAATGTTGTTATTATAAATTATAAGCACGTTGAAAACATTCAAGGGTGCTAATTCATTGTTGGAAGAATTTGAACTTGCTCGATTTGAATTCAAATGATTAAAATTAGAAGTCAAAGATAGAGGACATATAGTTAAGTTTTCAAATGTAGAGAGATATTAGTGGGTTGAATTATGAATGTTCAAGTATGTTCGTAAATTTGGAAAATATTTCCAGATTAAGTGCAAGGTTATGTGAATCATTGGAGATATAAACATACATGTGTATAGGGATGTGCTGTAATGAAAACTCAATATATAGTTACTGTTTAGTATCTCCAGATGTTGAACAAGTATTGTAGGTTATTAAATTGAGTTTAGAAACTTCAAATGAAGTGGTGCTGGTATGTTTTAGGGACGTGGCATAGTTTGATTGAGATGCTAGTTACTAAGTAAGGTAATACTATGGGTTGAGATAAGGAAGGAAGCGTTCCAAAGATAATAGTTCAAATAAGAAAAATTGTCCAGGATGACCAACTATTAAGTAAGGGTAGAGATTGAAAGAGATTGGGATTTAAAGAGAGTTATTTAATTTATAAATTATGTTGGATCAAGTATTAACCAACCCTTACTAATATGATAGGTTTATATATCTGCTAAAGCCTACCGAAGAAGCTAAGAGAAAGGAAACAAGTAAGGTTTGATTTTGAAGCAGAAGGTTCAGGTAGTAGTTCTTTCCTCCCTTACACTTGTGTATGATTGCTGCATGTCTGTTTGTGCCATATTACTTTTCTAAAGCATGAGAACATGTAATCCTTAATTCCTTGCATGGATTTTTAACCGTGACCACGTGCAGCTGATAAACATGGGGCAGTGATTGCCAATTATATGCGCGGCAGTGATTGCCAATTATATGCGCGGCAGTGATTGCCAATTATTTGCGCGGCAGTGATTGCCAATTATATGCGCGGCAGTGATTGTCAATTATTTGCGCGGCAGTTATTGCCAATTATATGCGCGGCAGTGGTTGCCAATTATTAGCGCATTATTTATTCAGCTTGTCTAATAGACATGGGGCAGTGATTGCCAGGTATGTGCGCATTATTTATTCAGCTTTTATATCTGTCATTGTGCATAAATGCTTAATTGCATTAGCTTGCAAGGTTATGTTCCACTTTGGCTTGTTTTGCATTCTTTATGTAATCTGCACATTTGTTTGATGGAAATTACTACTACGGGGATTCTTCGGAATCTCACCCCCCAATTTATGATGAACAGTGAAAGCTAGTAGCCTGAAGGACAAGGAGGTTGTTTAAGAAGAAGGTGGACTGGTTGAAGAGCAGAGATACCTGTTTTAATTCTGTAAATTGTATAGCAAAATATATGGGCAAGTAACTTTACTTGCTCTATGGAAATATTATTTTGTATCCTTTAGAAGAAGGAAGTGAGCATTGCCAGGTGCACGTATATGCTGTCAACCAAGAGCGTTGCTTTATTTTAAATATAATATTATAAGATTGTATAGTATGAAATTATTTTAGATGATAATAGATTAAGTTGAAAGCAGGGTTGATATTGGATCACTCATCAGTTATCTGAAGCTTTGAAATATTTGATCAACGGATTCTAATGTTAAAGGATAAAAAAAAAAAAAATCCCTGTCTTTTCTCAGGACAGAAACCTGGCATTAGTGATTCACAGACGTTAAAATGATCCTATTAGTATATAAAAGTGAGGTGTTGCACAACTGCCCCAAATTTGTGGATTCAAGTTTGGGAAGGGCTCTTCAACAATTGGGAACAATATCGGTATGAATAATATTCTATATCAATGTTGATTAGAGTCTTCAAAATTAGATGGAATAAGATTTGGATTAGAATCATGTATATAAATTACCTAGCTGAAAATATACGTACTATTAAATAGGGAGCTTATAACTTACAAAGAGATGCAAGGACACGAAGAAGAAAACAATACTTGATATATGTATACAACTAGATTTTCTTTCAATTTCGGAGTACAATAGAGGAAAATGTGAAATATACGACTTCATTTCGTTTTTTTTTTAATATTTATTAATGATATTCTTTTTATACTTTTCATGTGCAACCATATCAAAACTTCGACCACGAAATTTCACCAAAAAAAAAAAGGCAATGAAAGAATAATTGTATGTGTGGCTATTTATACGAGTATGCATGCTCGGTATGCTCACATTATATACATGTATATTCTTTTCACATTCAAGTTTTAAAAAAAAAACTTTTACTAATAAATTTGATTGTTGTGAATAGAATTTGTCCTTTTTTAAAATTGAAGTTGCGGTTGCCACAGGTTTCAACAGAAGATTCAAATGTTCAAATTTCATCAAATGTAGAAGAACAATTGCCTGCAAGTGAGGAAAAAGGGATGATCTTGATCTCAAGAGCAGAGTACTTGCACATATGGGATTCAATTAGCCTCATATCTGTATGGGAGGGTCCCACTTTCATCATCTTCCAAAATCTGAAGGAGCTATACGTGAATGATTGTAGTAGATTGAAGTGTATATTCCCCAGCGCTGTGATAAGAAGCCTACCATGTTTGTCGCATCTAGACATTGATTACTGTGAAGAGTTGGAGGAGATAATGTCATCAGAGCATCACTTCCCAAATGCATATTCCTCTCATTCCTTCTGCTTCCCACAGCTTGAGACTCTTAGCGTCTTCGGATGCAGAAAGTTGAAATGGCTCTTCCCCTCTCTGCCTTCTGCCCAACATCTTCCACAGTTGAAATATCTGAGGATTAGCTGGTGCTCTGAACTAAAGGGACTTTTTAATGGTGAACTTGAAGTCCATGACGAGGAAGGCTCCAACAACAACATGCTTCCAATGCTGAGAGATCTTCAGGTAGACGATTGCCCAAACTTCTCCAAAACCACACTTGCTGCTCTTCAAAGGTGCGCACATTTATACTACATATATCCACATCTATCCATATTTGACTTTAGATTGTTTTTTTTTTAATTTCTTATTTTCGTGACTAGTGTTATATATATTTTTCAAATGAGCAACTTGGAAATGTTGGCACCGCACACCTTACAAAATTTTTGTATTTTGGATCTTGAATTTATTTATAAAAAGAATTATAGTAAAGACCCAGATTCAGAAATTAAATATTTAGAATGCCTGTAATTAGATTTACCACTAACTCATTGCATGTCTACTACTAGTCAGCATTTACCATTCACACAATACAAATTTACAAATAAGAACGGATTTAACATTATTTACTAGCTGGAGTAATGAGAATTATTGTCATTAGTGTCCCTTAGGCCTGATTCTTCCTTATTTGTATGCCATCTCCTCCATGATCCATCCATTTTCTTCTCAAAATAAAAGATGTAATTGATATACACATCTTGGAAGAACTGCAGAAGGAAACTTTTTTTTTTCCCGTGCATTTGCTGCATGTTTTCCTCAGATTTATTCTTTTTTTTTGCTCTGGAAAATATAATGTCTACATATTATAGTAAACTGATTTTGAGATTGTGATTTTTCTCATATTTGTACAGTCAGCAGCAACAAAAAGAAGCGAAAGATGGTGATGATGATGATTGATATATATATATATATATATATATCCCTGTTTAACTAAAGAGGAGGATATGTTTGAGATTGTGTCTGCCTCTGATCTTCTTCATTTATCACTTTAAGATGCATTGCAGAAGGGATTCATATGTCTCATGTTTATTTAAATACTTTGGTTTGTTGTCTACATATAGTAATAAAAGTTTCACTTCACACTTCTGCCTCTATATGAACGAGCATTCATTCATTTTCAATGCAATTTTTTTTTTTGAGGTAGCAATGTAGCATATATGAAGTTTTATAAAAAGATTTTTCTTTTCTTTTTGTTTGATTTTTCAATGAAAGGAGTTTTGGTGTTTTAGTTTCTTTCGGTTTACTAACAGAATTAAAAAAAAAAATCGACATGGTCGATGATGAATGAAATAACGTGTCAATGCTTTTTCGAGTTCAGTGGATAAAATTTTCAAGACTTTATTTTTTGTATTGAGCAGTCTTAGTAGATCAGTTTAGATTGTAACTTAAAACATTTTGTCCACATAAATATTATTAATTTAATTAACGTTACTTTCAAATTTAAGTTTAATGACGAAAATCAGCAAAAATGAATATAAAGAGATATCCGTTCACTCTCATACGCCGCCGCCTCCGCCACCACCAACGTTACTTTCTTTTCTTTTTTCATTTTTTTTGGCAAAACACTTAATTAAAAATTAACAACCAAATAAGTTTTTTTTTGTTTTTAAAAACAAAAAATTGTTTCCAAAACAAGAAAACAAACATCCCCTGAACTCGTTTTTTTTTTGTTTTCTTGTTTTGCCAAGTTGTTGTGGTCCCCGGATATGCATCTACTGATTTGCATAAAGATGCGTAATATGCGATGGTTATTAAGCTCTTCGATACGTATGCTAGACGTTCTGGATTGGATTTGAGCTTACAAAGGTATTATAATCATGCTCTTTGGTTTTAGATAGATCCAGCAAAGTGAGTACGGTAATCATAAAACTCAAAATTCATCTATCTATCTATTATTATTATAAGGGAGGGGTCTCTGCAAGGCCATCTAGAAGTGCGACAAGTGGCAGAATGATGAGTGAGATAAATGCATCAATTTTTTAATCATTTTGAAATAACGAGTCATCTCTTTTGCTATTTAATAAATCATTTAATAATTGTTTCATTATTGCATATCTTAGTTACCCCATGTTTTGGATCGTGCACTATGAAATGTGGGGGGACAATTTCATTATAAATGTGGGCACGATTTATAGAACGCATATGTATGACAGAAAAAAAAAAACCCATGTTTCATATTTATTTTTAATTTATGATTACAAGTAATTTTGAATGTGGGCAGTTTTCTGAATATATGTCAGCTAATAAATTAAAACATTATCCGTTTTAGGGGTGAACGTGGACAGTTTTTTTACAAAGGCATGCTTACATTATGCCTCGTGACAGGCTTTTCTCAAAAATAAATATAATGAATTTTTATATGCAAAAAAATTCAGATATCATGTTACAAATTAATTTTTAATTTTTTGATTTCAAGGAATTTTGAACGTGAGCTATTTTTTCAAAATTAAAAATTATCTCTTTTAACGGTGAACGTGGGCAGTGTTTTTATTATAATTAAGTAAAGTAATATTTTTTTGTTTAGTTAGGATCATTAATCCAAAAAACGTGCCGTTGGCGGAGCTGCATGCTAAGTGCTAACAGCATGCCACGTGGCACACTGCCATCATAGATAAATAAGCATTTTTTTTTAATAAAAATGAAAATTTGAAGGAATCTCTGCGGTTGTGACTTGTGATCACTGCACCACATTCCCATATTTCAAGGCTATGTTTTGGACAGTTTTCTGATTTTAAATTAATATTTTATATTTTGAATTAGTTTAATTAATATTTTAAATTTTGAATTAAAACTAATATTTCATTTAAAAGCGGCAATTGGTTACTCCTTGGGTTCAAATTAATATTTCAGATTTTAAATTACATTTAATAATCTTTTAAATATTAAATTAATATTAATATTTCATAAAATTAAAATTAAAATTTATAGATTAAAAAAGTAGGAATTTACAAATATATTTATAAAATTAAAGAAAAAAAATAATTGAATAGACTTATGCACTCACGTTGTTATGTTTTTAGGTTGAATTTTTTGAGGATGGTTAGTCTTTTAGATTTCAAATTACATTTAATAAATATTTTAAATTTTAAATTAAAATTAAAATTAATATTTAATAAAAACCGATAGATTTCTAAAATAAGTATTAGTGCCATGTTTCTGAGCGTGCCTCGTTCACTCCAGTGGGAGGGCTTCATGTCTACGATCGTGGCTGGTTTCGTGTGTTTGTAGGCTCGAGAAACAGCGAGTTTTAGTTTCATTTGAAGTGATCGTGTGAAGACAGTTTAGAGAAGTTGCCCCAAAGTTCTCGCAAGGCCAGAGATAGATTCTCAAGTTTGCATATTTCAAATTCAATTGAGCAAGAGATGATATCAGATGTGTGTGCTCACGGTGGCAGTAGTTCATGTGAGGTATTCAATCTTCAGAGTTTAGGAACTTTGGCACGATAGTTTCCCACTAGAAGGAAGATTTGGCTGAAGCATGAGGGGCAAATCTATGAAATCCCACATCTGGTAACATTTGTCTATTGTGCATTTTTCTTTTCTATTCTATTTTCTCTCATTCTCGAGCCCTGTCCTCAGTATTTTTCTTATTCTATTTCTAGATCATTGGGATCCCACACTTGGTTTCAGACCCACTCCATCACTGCAACAATGTCTTTGTCGACCGTTGGAAGACGGTGCTCCAGTGCAAGTTAGTAGTCAACAGAGATGAAGACGATGGGTGTGCGAAAACGGGCGACCAAGGTCATTCAGGAGTCGTGGAAAATGGAGGATGAAAAGTGGTAAGGTGGAGCTGCTGTAGTGGTAGTGGATGAGGACAGGCCATTTGAGGGGAGAGGTAGGGAGGGGTGGTGAAGGAAGAGGCAGAGGGAGGTGTTGAAGGCAGCGTTGAGAGAGAGGTCCTTAGAGAGAGATGTAATGGATGGGGATAGGAGAAGGGGGCATGATGGGGATGGGTTGGAGTCAGGTGTGGGAGCGATGGGGACTGGGTTTAATGATGAGGAATTTGTAGGGGTGAACGGAGGGAGTCTATAGTCGGAAGATTGGTCAGCCATTCTAAATCTCCCTCTCTCTTCGCTAATCGTTGCGTAATAGGAAGTGCGTTATCACTGAGCTGCCAAGACATGTTTTGTCCAAAGCCACTCTATTACCACTGTATCCCTGACTATTCTAATTCCCAGGCTCAACCTCTTCTCCGCTATCGCAATCAAGTACGTTTTAGTGTTATCATTTTAATGGTCTGTATCCAAATTAGTTTACTCTGCAAGTAGTTCAACCTCTCAAACAGAAGAATCCAAAACAAGAAAATTCTTGAAACTATTGTGACCATGATTCCTGTAGATAAAGGGTCAATTTCAGTTGGTTTCTTGCTTAGACTCCTCCGGATTTCGAACATTTCGGGGTCTCCTATGTCACCCAGACAAAACTGATTAGAAGAGCAAGCCTGTAATTTGATGAAGCAACTACGGATGACTTGCCTTATGCTTCATCAATTGAGTTGGTTTTAGCAGTTTTCGAAAGTTACTTGAAGCTTTGGAAAAGAATGTCTCCTGATCCTGCAGATAATAGCCACTTCTTAAGATCAACTAAAACTTTCTTCCCCATGCAATGTACAAACTAAAATATTTGATTAGATTTTAAATTCTAATAAATTGCATTATTTAAGATACTTCAAGATTTACTTTTTATAGGAGTTCTTTTTTTTTTTTTACCGCAAGGAGTATTTTTTTTTATTCATTTAAATTGGATTTGAATTAGAAATGTGAAATTTAGGGGGAACATGTGAACATTTAAAATTAAATGATTATTTCTCCATTTAAACCCCTAATTGACATATTATTTAATTATGATGCTTCCTATTTAATTCAATATATTCAAATCCCAATTAAAATATTATCCAAATTTAAAATTAATTATTAATTTTTTATGAGTCTCCAATTGAAATCTCATTTAATAATGATGTTCCTCATTTAATTCAATATAACCAAATTCTAATCAAAATATTATTCAAATCTCATTAATTGAATATATTATGGTGTCATAACATCATTCCTGATCCATTTTTAAATGAATCGGGTATTACAAGTTCTCAATTATATTAGTTGATGATTGATTGATTATACATGTTAGGAAGCTCATTGATACTAAATCTATCTATTACTATATACACATTACGTCATGTCTCCATGTTTATTTAAGGTTAAAGAAATTAGGAAGTTTTCCAATTTTTGCCTTATATGTTGCATTTTTCATGAAAGTTATAAAATTAAAAAAATATAAATTTTCAATTTGCTAAGAATTTGTTTTAGATATTTTAGTTTACAGATTTTAGATTTTAGATTATTTTATTTTCCAATACTGCTGCTTTAAGATTTTGCATTATTTTAACTTCCCTTTATCCCTATTTTGCCTCTCATGTGAACTTTTTTTTTGGGAGTTATGAAATTAAAAATAAATATTTTTCCTTAAATGTATTAATTGAATTTAACATTTAAAAGTGGCGGAAGATTGTAACTTACATATTTATGATCAATGATTTCAATTTGAATTTATTAATTGAGTTATATGAATTTGTTTTAGATTCTAGACGGAGTTTATATGTGAGTGTGTGTGTGTATAAAATCTTGAATTTTGCTCTTTATTTCGGTTATCTTAACTTCTCACTATTATTTTAAATTTAACGTGTGCGGAAAGCTATCCATTCCTCTCTGTTGAGTTTTTTTTTTTTTTTCAATTTTAAATTTGGGTTGTTAGAAGAATAGAAAATACAGATTTTTTATGTTAAAGAGCACCTCAGATACAAAACCTCCAATATTCCTTACAATAAGATTTTTTGCAATCTTATCTCTTCAAAAACATATGCAATTTTCAATTGACTACGGTATCTCCATTCTTGTTCTTGTTTTTTTTTTTTGGGCATTGCCCTTGAAATATAGTGATTATGTGCCTGCAATGCTTTCTAAAGAAGAGACCGTATTTGAGTATCCCCCATTATACGCCCAAAATTGATGAGTCCATTAAATTTTATGGTGAAGCATGATTAATTGGCTATATATTGGACCAACATATTTAGGAGTATAAATAA